CGATTAGTTATCGACTACCGCCAACTGAACAAAAAGATTATGCCAGATAAATTTCCTCTACCAAGAATCGAAAGCATTTTAGATCAACTTGGTAGAGCGAAATACTTTAGCACGCTAGATCTGATGTCAGGATTTCATCAGATCCCATTGGAACAGGATTCTAGAAGATTCACTGCATTTTCAACGAATTCCGGTCACTATCAATTCAGAAGATTGCCGTTTGGACTGAATATTAGCCCGAATAGCTTTCAAAGAATGATGGCGATCGCAATGGCTGGCTTAACGCCGGAACGTGCGTTCATTTACATAGATGACATAGTTGTCATCGGATGCTCATTAAGACATCATTTGGAAAATTTAGAGAAAATCTTTGAACGTTTAAGACACTATAACCTTAAACTAAACATTTCAAAATGCAAATTTCTTAGAACTGAGGTCACATATCTCGGTCATAAGATAACAGACAAAGGGATATTACCCGATGATTCGAAATATGAAGCTATTAGGAATTATCCAGTACCCAAAAGCGCAGACGATGTACGACGATTTGTTGCTTTCTGCAACTATTATCGTAAATTCGTCGAAAATTTCGCAAAAATTGCGTACCCTCTAAACCAACTATTGAAGAAAAATGCAATTTTTGTATGGACAGAAGAATGCCAAAAAGCATTCGATTACTTGAGATACCAACTAATGTCACCAAGAATATTGCAGTACCCGGACTTTACCAAACAATTTATACTGACGACAGACGCCTCTGATATTGGATGTGGAGCTGTCTTGTCTCAAATTACTGAAGCGGGAGATCAACCGATTGCTTTTGCAAGCAAAACGTTTATTCCTGCTGAACGAAACAAACCAACAATTCTAAAGGAGTTAACAGCCATACACTGGGCTATTAACCATTTCGAGTCATACCTGTATGGTAGAAGATTCACAGTAAGAACAGATCACAGACCTCTTGTCTATCTGTTTAATATGAAGAAACCAACGTCAAAATTGACGAGGATGCGTATCGATCTAGAAGGATACGATTTCGACATTGTATACATGGTAGGTAAGGAAAACGTAGCAGCAGACGCATTATCACGCATTGTTACTACATCGGAACAACTTAAAGCTAATATTTTACTAGTTAATACAAGATCGATGACGAAAAAATCGATATCTCCGAATAAAAATAAGGAAAATAAAAATTATGAAGATGAAAAAAGGGAGTCTGATCAACCCCGCATATATGAAGCCGAGAGTCCTACGGAAATAAAAAAATTACTAAAACTGTCGACAGCCGTAGTGGACAATATAATAAAATTCAACGTGAGAAAAAGAAACAAGCTTGTCGCACAAGTGCATCAAGATGTAAGAAATGGAAGTCAGATGCTAGAATTTGCTCTTCCAGAAATTGAGAAAATCACGAAATCAAGACGTACGCATAAAATAGCGCTCTCTGCAGAGGATATAATTTTTCAAATAGTACCTTTAAATTACTTTAAATTAATGGCAAATAACATTTTGAAAGATTTGCAAATAATTATCTTTAAGGAACCAAAATTCATTACTGATGTTAACGAAATTCAAACAATTTTACATAATCACCACAACACACCCACAGGAGGACATGTAGGACAACACCGATTGTACCAACGTGTTCGTCAATATTATAAATGGCGTGATATGAAAGGGTCTATTGCTCAATTCGTAAAGCGCTGCGAATTGTGCAAAAGAAACAAAATTATCAAGCATACAAAACAACCGATGGTTATCACCACAACACCATCGAGAGCATTTGAGATCATATCAATAGATACGGTAGGACCTCTACCGAGAACCATTAATAACAATCGCTACTGTGTGACAATCCAGTGCGATTTAACCAAATATATCGTAGTAATTCCGATTCAAAATAAAGAAGCCAACACTATAGCGAAAGCCCTAGTGGAAAACTTTATTCTAATATATGGACATTTTATGGAATTGCGATCTGATCAAGGAACAGAATATAAAAATGAGATCCTTGAGCAGGTATGCAAACTCCTACAGATAAAGCAAACATTTTCAACACCTTATCATCCAGAATCAATTGGATCATTGGAGAGAAACCACAGATGTCTTAACGAATATCTGCGGTCATTCACCAATGAACACCAATCAGACTGGGATGACTGGGTCAAATATTACGAATTTTCATACAACACTACACCCCACACAGATCATAACTTCACTCCATTTGAGTTAGTATTCGGTAAAAAAGCAAACCTTCCACAAGACAATTTCGACAGTGTTAATGAACCAATTTATAATTTTGATATGTTTAAGAATGAACTACAGTACAAATTAAAAATAGCTCACGAAATAACAAAAGCAAAATTAATAGAGCAAAAAATGAAGAGACAAAAGGAACATGAACAAACTCTAAACCCAATTTATATCAAACTACAAGACTTAGTTTTTTTGAAAAATGAAAATAGGAGGAAATTAGATCCATTTTATCTTGGACCATACGAAGTTATATCAATATGTGAACCAAATTGCGAGATTAAAAATACAACTACAGGAAAAACAATTTTAGTTCATAAAAACAGATTGATCAAAAACTAAGCAAAATTTTTTTTTTCCTTCAAAAAGTGTAAAAAAATAAGCCATTTACCAAGCCCAATTTCATAAGAAAGTAAAAAAAAAAAAAATAGTAAAAAAACGGAATGGGTGAAAGTTCTCAATGTCACTGAGAGTGCGAAATTCGGTTAAGCAAAATAAAAAAGTAAAAAAAAACAAATAAAAAAACAAAAAAAAAAGAAAAAAGAACAAAATTAACAAGCAATAAAAATGTTCGAGACAATTGGGGAAAGACCATTTATGTTTGAATAATTCCACCCTGTTACATTATTCTCTCTAAGGGGGATGGTGTAGCATGAGAACAAACCCATAGCTAATTTACATACATATCCCACAGGCAGCAAATTATAATTACGCTTAAAGAAGCACACCTTCTGTGTCTCTACTTCAGTCTCTCTACTCGTTACCACTTTTTACCTCGCACAGCGAAACCCGTACCGGCCGCAGTGCTTTATGTTTATTAGGCGAAAAAACCCAATTTTGTAAAACTGCAAAGGATGCATTTATTGATGTCGCCCCAGCTGTCTCATAGGAAAACTGTATTCGATAACCCCTATAAATAAGAAACGCTGAAATATACGCAGAGGATTATTCGTTCTGAGCTCGACCCAACCGGAGGTTCTCCGATCTTGGCCAATCGACTACTCTGAACAAAGTAATAAGTATTTCTTACTCCTACGGGTTAAGACCTGTAGGTTGGCAAAGAAAGCCCAGGCATGAAGTCTACACGATTCTTTTGAAACTACAACGAAGCGTAGTTTACCGTGCCTTTACTGACTACGCTATGAGGCCCATCAATACAATATGAATACTAGGAAATTCATTTTATAAATCCTTAATTAGTTTTAGATCAGAAAATACTCTGAATCACAATAAAGGAAATCTCTGAATGATAGAAGAAGAATTCACTAAATTCTCGAACAAAGGTTATTCGAAATAATTTCAATCACAGAAAATTTATTATCTGAATCCCGTAGTGAGTTTCTCTGAATTTTGCATAGAGATTCATTGAATTATTGAATTGAACTGAACGTTGAGAAAGAGATGAGCTGAATTTACAAGAAACGTATTTCTCTGCATTCCAAAATATTCAGTTGACCAGGGAAATAAATCACCGAAGAGTCGAAGGCAAACCAGCTCCAGGCTGAAAGCCCATCTAATAAATATAACGTAATCATCACCAAACCATCATAATCTCAAGACAAATACTCTTTGATTTTCTGTTTGTTTTTTTTTTCTAGAATTCACAGTAGGCACAGCTAGACAAAATAAATAACTCTAAAATTAAGCAATTCTGAAACATGTTGCAATGAGGATAGATGAACAGAGTCAATAAGGTGATCCAAGAGACGTTTATCAGTGGAACTGATAGCTATAAATCTAGAATGTGTGAGTTATCGGGTGTTAATGGTGCTGAATGTAAACACAAACAAAGCAGAAATTCATATGAGAATAAACTGCCAGTTCTACTGTGATCTGTCAAAAGTTCTTGGTAAAAAAGTCAACTGATCGCAACAAGAAATACTCTGAATATTTCTAATCGCAACTGCCTCGTGAACAGCCTTATAGATGGGCACACGGTCGATGAGATCAATTCAAAATTGACTAGTTTTGCACTCAAAATTGCTAAGTAAAACGTAGCTCACTCATAGACTGATTCAAAATTGTATCGCTTATCCTAAAAAATCTGCTCTAATATGAGATTAATCGTCGAACTTTTTACTCAGTCTAGGAGTATACTAAAAAACTGAGTGAAACCTCTCTCAATGTTCTCCATATTCGGAAAGTCTTTCCTGGAAAATGGGGGAAAATTTTACTCAGTCTATGTTCTTACGATTTTAAGTGAATGGACTCAATTATGAGTCAGATTCAACGACCTTTTTATGTTTAAAAACTAATTCCAATTTGGAATCGGAACACGAATTCAATTTGCAGTGAAAGCCAAAAGTAATTTCCATATTTTCTCGTAAAGAAATTAATATCCTACTAACTGGCAAGTTTCACTCATTAGACCGGTCAAATTTCGAATGTACAAAGCCTGTCACTTTAACTACAATTCCGGAAACAACAATCCACATCTAATGCACCAAACATAATGGAAAATGTTGACCCATTCAACTGCATCACACATGAATTGAATGCAAACCCTCGTTCTCCGCCTTCTCTTAATGGATTCTGAATGGCACATAATCCACCTCGATCAATCGATTTCACCGATGAAATAACATCCCACCTGGCTATCGAACGAGATGCACTTGCATTCCTCCTCGAACCTCATAGAGCTCTATGGCAACACGACACTAATGAGAAACTCCATCCTCCTCACCTCCTTCTCCATTCACCCCTTTCCCCTCCCCACACGTTTTTGTCTCTTCTTCACACAACAGGATTAATTGTATCCACCACCATTGTATCGGTGTACAGCATAGGACTGATCGCAATCGACCGCTACCTGTACATCGTCTATGGCCTTCAATACCAGCGCTACATCACACCCAGCCGGGCGAAGCTTTCAATCGCTGCAACCTGGATGATTGGTAAGAGTCCTTCCCTTTACTACCTGCCATCACCATCCTCCGCCCATCAGGCCGATTTGAATGATTCCGACAATATTTTACATTTTCCAAGAACCACCCTGGGCTAACGTTTCGATTGTTGCAGGTCTCGTCATCGGCTTTCTGCCCGCGTTCGGTTGGCGTGGCGATACCGACGGTGGACGAGTCTGCTGGTTCGTTCGTCTGGCCCCACCGGCACTCATTATACTGACCACCGTGGTGGGAATAATCCCTCTGATTGTGGTCATTGTCCTGTACAGCATCATCCTGCACAAAGCCATCCGACGAGTGGCACAGCTGAAAAAAGCGAGCCGTGAGCAACAGGGTGCCTTGGCTGGAAATTTACGATTGTTCCGCGGTGGAGCAGCTGCTACTGCTACTGCTACTGCCACTGAACAACCACTGGCGGAAGAGCAGGGCAAACCAACGAAATGCTTCCGGTGCTGCAAAAAACGCTCGTCCAGAACGATTGACAGCCAGGTCAGCGGGAAGCATCCGACCAAGTGGAAGGCCATCAAGGTGGTCATGCTCACAACGGGGTGCTTCGTCGTGACGTGGCTGCCATATTTCATCGCTAGTACCATGTACGTTTTCTGTGACCCGCAAAGGAACCAGGACCTATGTCGTGGTCTGCAGTTTGCCATCGCAAGCCCTCTGGCCATTCTCGGATTCACCAACAGCCTGCTAAATCCCCTTATCTACGCCTGGTGGCACAAAGGCTTCCGAAAATCGATGAAGAAGCTATGGAGAAAAAAGTGCTCCTGTTGCTGCCAGCGAGACGACGATATATCATCCGCACAAGATCGGGCACAAGAAGTGTCGGCCAGAACGACATCCACCAGCAGCAACAATGCCACAGCCACCGTTGTCGTCTTTGGCGGAAACGATGCTAGTCAACAGTCTCGAAGCTCAGATGCTACAACATCAACAACCACTAACTCCTCCTGCACTGCTAGCCCGCAGTACCGTAACTCAAAAAGTAACGGCATCAGATCGAAGCCCACGTACCGCAGCGACGCCAGTGACCTGGAAAATCGAATATCTGACACGGACATCGATCGTCGGCACCAGCAGACTCGACTTTAAAGAGCAAAACAGAAAGCACCAGGAGTGGCTCTCTCGTTCCAAAAGATTACCTCCATAAAACGTTGCGTGTTAGAATGTAATTGTAAGACTGTGCGAGTGTGTTTGCTTGCCTTTATAATATGGGCTTACGTCAGAATAACGAAGCGACTCAAAGCAAAGTCAACAATAACAATAAATTGTTTGTAAACTCATCGGCGTGCTGGCTGGATGACAAAAACAGAAAGAAAATGTAACACCCATTTCTAGGAAAAGCTGAAAACAATTTTAGCTGTTTTCCTCAGCCGACTATAGCGGATTTAATTCCATTTCCCCAAACTGCCGTGAGATGTTTCTCGCTTATTGGTTGTGCCACTCTCCTTCTATGACATTGCGAGTTTGTTTGGACATAAATTTCTTTCTTGTGTTGTTGCTGACAGACTTAGGTAAATCGGATTTCACTCATGGCGTCCATGTCTGCCATCAACGAACGAACGAACGAAGCTTGACACAAAGTATGAGGCGTCTCCATCAAAACGCTGCTTTCAGAGGCTTGCCATTCAATGCCAAGTTATAGGGGAAACGCTCCTATAGTTGCGGTACGTTAGAAGCGTTAGGTTCCTATAGTTGTGTATGGAGACTCAATACACAACTATAGGAACCTAACGCTTCTAACGTACCGCAACTATAGGAGCGTTTACCCTACTTGCTTATTTATAGAAAGCGTTCATCCCACGGGGAAGGTGCACAGACGTTGAGGCTCGAACTAAATTTCTGTAGAAACAAGTGTAAAAATTCCTGTTCGGCTTAAGCGCCACCAACGCCGATTTCAACAATTAAAAACCCTGTTTGACAACATGATGGCGCTGGTGTTGCACAACTTACACTAGACACTAAGTTCCGGTAGCGCCGAGTGGTAATTTTCAACCGAATTTTATAGAGGAAATCAGAAGATGCTAGCGCTACGTAACGGCGACGTTCCCACTTATCTTTACACAAGTTTCTGGTGGAAGTTCGACGTCTGTTCTCTGTGTTTAAGGCTGAAGACTAATGCAGCCCATACACACTGCAACATGGTTGTCAACTTCATGTTTCAACTGGTTGTCGGATCTGCTTTCAATCAGTTTGTCAACGGAGCAAAAATTTCATAATTCTAGATAGCGCTGGAATTAGGGCCTAACAGCTTTTGTAAACAATGACTTCTTTTGATGATTTCTTGAAATTCAAGCCTCGCCCACACACACCAACATCCTCATCGGGTAGGGAAAGACTTTCTCTATCCGATGGTTATGTTGGTCTGCGTGGGCGTGCCTTGAATTTCTAGAAATCATCGATAGAAGTCATTGCTTAAAAAAGCTGTTACGCCCTAATTCCAGCTCTATCTAGAATTGTGCCACAAACGATCAAATCTATTATTCGGCTTGTATGTCAGCGTATTGGGCAACCCATTTAAAATACGCGTAATGTGGATGCGGCTTCCCCATACACACTGAAACAAAGTTGACAGACTTAGGCTCCACCCATCATAAATCAAACCGCTTTGAATTTACTTCAACCGATTCACCAACTTTCATTTTTGTCTTGTATCCATTCCACTACGGCTCATCGCAAGTCCCAGGACGGGACTTGATAATCCAGCTTCTCACTCTTCTTAATGTTTTTGATGAATGCCCGTTGAAAATAAGTGCATGGTGTTTGAAGGAGTTGACCAATGATGCCAGGATTGCAGAATGATTTTCTATTTTAATTTGAATTTGATTCGGAGTTTCTACCGCAGTTGAGCACCTTGTACATCATGTTTGCTTAACACAATAAAAACAACCATAAACAAACAAGAATATCCATCGCTTAAAGCACGCCGTGGACCCTATTTTCAAACTTTCCTTTCGCAAATATAAACAATTAACAACGCCATCGAAGTCAACATTGATTCCGGCCTCATTGCCAGACAAATTGATGTGATCCCTCTGTCCTGTTTTCCACGATTGATACTGTTAAATCGACCAATCAGCAACTGGCTCGGATTTGACGGCAAATTGGCTGAAAATCGCTACTCGTTTGTCAAGTCCCGTCCCAGGTCCGTCCCATTTGCGTTTTCGTGATAAGGAGAAAACAGCGGCTGAATGTTTCAAAACGTGATTTGCATTTTTCGTTATTTTAAACAAAAATATCAATCACAACTGTTGCACATGTGACAATCAAATACTTTGAAATTCTGAGCCGTAAAAAATATTGAAATTTTACTCAATTAGGGATAAGAGGGGCATAGTGAGCATCCCGTGCACCAGCTTGGACTTCCGGCCGTTCGGAACAAATTGGTTGGTAGTATGATCAATATCAAAATGATATTGAACCTACTACCAGTTGATTTGTTTCATGCAGCTGGAGATCAAGAGCCAAACTGCGGGATGCTCACTATGCCCCTCCTCCCCCTATGTTGAAATTAATGGAGTTGGACTCATATGCGACTATGTTTGCGATAAATTGCCAGAATGATTACAAGTATGTCCCATAGCCTCCTTGGACGACGAAAATTCCATGCGCATTTTGCGTATGTTGTGATTCTGTCGGTGAAGAAGACGATTCGAAATGTCCGAATAGCCGGCGCCGGTGGTGTAGTGGTAAGCGTGACTGCTTTCTCACCCTGGGATCAATCCCAGCCGAAGTCGGTGGGATTTTTCTGAGGAATAAAAATCTCTGGTCACGTCTTCCTACGGAAGTTTAGTAAAGCCGTTGGTCCCGGCCCATATGTCGTTGAATGGGTGCGATATCCTAGGTGTGGAAGCTGCCTTCCTTGCACATTCGATTGCCGTCAATGGATGGCAATCGATGTCCGTGGGTGATTGGCACTAGATTGCGGAACATAGACCGACGTTAAATAAAGGAATGATGATGAAGAAGAACAATAAGAAATGTCCGAATTGGAATTAATTCAGACGTACGCCAGCTCCAGTGAAAGTTCCGATGAGGATTTGAATGTCCAGAATCCAATATGAGCCCCAAATTTCTTCTCCTCAAAGGTATCAACCTGCGTGTAATGGTTCAAACAGCACTTTAGCTTGTTAATTGAGTAGATGTCCCACTTGGTTTTTTGTGAAACCGTTCCAAAACGTGGATATAACGGATTCAGAAACGGCACTTGAACCACAAGGGGAAACCGATCAAAATGCAAGAAGAAGAAGAAGAAGAAGAAGAAGAAGAAGGACGACCGAATCGAAGAAAAATTCAACGTTCAAGAGTATGAACAACCGGTGGAAACTAACGATTTTAAATTGGCTCACTACTTGACTAGCCTATTGATCCCAAGCAAATCGATTAACGTTCCTCATTCTAGACGAAATTCTAGTACTACACTATGTTTGTTTTGATTTGAAAGTTTAACGTTAACGTTTAAGTTAAAGTTGGCAGTGAGAAGCACCTGACGGCTGGATAACTGTGCCACTTTAAAAAAACACAAAATCAACCGCGTTACGAAAAGTAGTCAGGTTTTGACGACTTATAACTCCGTCAATAGCGGATGGATTTTAATTCTAACCAAGCCAATCGATTGGAAATCTTTCTACAATTTTGCTAAAATGAACAGAGCTGGACTTTGGACACAGAAGCTTGCCATACCTGTTACCAGTTTGTTAAGCCTTTCTCTATCGGAGGGAGTCTTTCCTGATGCCTGGAAACTAGTAGCGGTAACGACGATACACACACGGCGTGGAAAATTATCGTCCTATTTCGATTCTGTGGCTGCATCTCGAAGATCTTGGAAACGATGACCAAATGTACACAGCTGCTCAGCTTTTCTTTTCCGAATTCCAGCATGCTTTTGTGAGGAATCGGTCAACCATCACAAACCTCATGTCGTTTACACTGAGGCAAATAGACTTAATAATTACATAAGGCTTGACTTATGAACGACACATATGAATGTCATAAGCACGACTTATCAAAAATGTTCATCTAACATGAGGTAGCTTTTCTACGCCATTAGCCATTGCATTTTCCCAAGCGTTGACAGACGAGTGGTCCAGACACAAGACCTGTAATCTTAACGTCCATGGTTCGGTTTCAGTCTGCTCAGTTTTATTATTTTTTTGTCGACATTATTTTTCATAAGGCAAATCAGTGAAATTCATACCGATTTTTTGTGGCTAAAGTTCATAAGCGGTTCTTATGGTAATCTTAAGTTCTTTTGCCCCAGTGTACGATAGCACACTCAATAGTTGCCTTGAAGACCGATGCCAAATTGACAGTATCTACATTGATATTTTCTAAAACGTTCGACAAGGTACCGCATGAGTTAATGCTAAAAAAGTTGGAACGATTAGGATTTCCTGGTTGGCTTGTGGATTGGTTACGCTCCTATCTCTACATTGAAGTGAAAGAACGTAAGAATTCCATAAGAAATACTTATGAATTTTAACCACAGAAATCGATATGGGTTTCATTGATTCGCCTTATGAAAAATAATGTTGAACAAATCGGAGCAGACGGGAACCGTATAAGAGCTACCTCATGTTATCCAAAAAACATTCATAAGTCACGTTTATGAAATTCATATGTGTTGTTCATAAGTCGAGCCTTATGAAATTTTTAAGCCTGTTTGCCTCAGTATACGGAAGATCTGCCTACGTTAAGCTTGGTTCCGTGTGTTCAGGAAGCTACGAGATGCTACTATGGGACAGCTCGATGTTTATAAAGTACTATTAGTTAAAACTGTATTTTTGAGCTTTATCTCTATACATATATTCTTTGAGCCGGCGTCGGTGGTGTAGTGGTAAGCGTGACTGCTTTCTCACCCCAATGGTTCTGGGTTCAATCCCAGTCGAGGTCGGTGGGATTTTTCTGAGGCATAAAAATCTCTGGTCACGTCTTCCTTCGAAAGGGAAGTAAAGCCGTTGGTCCCGGCCCATGTGTTGTTGAATGGGTGCGATATCCTACGCAGGTGTGGAAGCTGCCTTCCTGCACATTCGATTGCCGTCAATGGATGGCAATAGATGTCCGTCGGTGATTGGCACTAGATTGCGGAACAAAGACCGACGTTAAATAAAAGAAAGACATATATTCTTTGGTATTTCCTAGCAGATAATCATGTTGGTGTTCGCTGATTCAAAGAGTAAATGGGATAAACATTGAGCTGTCCACAGTTGGACGTTGCTGAACTTGTAGTTCTTGCACAACATTTCATGTGAGTACGTTCAGAGTGAGACAATGTCACTTATGG